CTGCTGACCTTTTGGGTCGCAGCCCAATGTGCAACCACTACATCACCAGGGCTCCTCTTGGGGCTTCAAAGGGGAGCACAAATAGCTATGCTTCCTGCCATGAGAGCTAATGGTTTTAAAAGCCTCTCGCTGGTATTCTGTGAGTATGAACTGTATTGTCTGTTAAAAGGTAAATCATAAAAAAACTTCAGTGAAAGCAGGGTGAGTGACTATTTACTGTGGTTTCTCAGAACGTAGAAGAATACCTGCACCTTGCAGATTCAAAAGCAATTTATTGGCTAAGTGAAGTAATACTTATACTTAATATACTTTGTGGCCTTTGGCGATAGAAGGTGATGCTAATGAAGCTCTTTAGATAGGGCCTGCCGTACTGACTTCTTGCTACAGAAAGCACATAGGGATTACGTTTGACCTTTTCTCCTGGTGCTGTTAGTTGCCATTGACTTAAGTGCCTTCTGGCTCATAGCATCCCCACGTAAGAAGAATAAAACCGGTCCATAGGGTTCTCCCGGCTGTGACTTCTCAGAATTAGATCAAGCCTGTCTTCCTAGGCACCGCTAGGTGGGTTTGAACCACTAACAGGCAAGTACTTAACCATTTGTGCTGCACAGGGATTGACTCCTCTTTTCTCTTTGGATCAGGCAAAGAAAGACAAGAGAAACTGGAGAAGTCTGGGAGGAGCGCACTCCCTCCAAAACAAAGGGAGTTTAGCTGTTTCTTTCACAGCCCAAACTCCATGCCATCGAGTCGGTTCTACCCATAGCAACCCTATAGAACAGAATAGAACTGCCCTTCTGGGTTTCAGGGATTGCCACTCTATGGGAGTAGAAAGGCCTCACATCCTTTACATCTCTGTGCTTTTCTTCTCTCTTCGTGTTTTTTCCCCTTTGTTCTGAAACCATACCACTTTTGCACCTTTCCGAGTCTACCTTCCACGTTTTCTCTGGACTGTCTTCATGCCCCTCCAATGACATGTACTAGCACCCACATTTTTTTTTAGTTGAAGGGTTCAACATCTTCTCATGCTTTTACTACAGATCCTTCTGTGCCTCAGGGGCATGATGGGAAACAATATTATACCTTTTTGCAGTTCAGAGAGGGAAATCAATGTGAGAGGGCTTCAAAACTTGCGGAAAATTTAAATTCTCTTTTAATTCAATTCTTCCACACACTCTTTGATGTCCTTTTATGTGTGGTTTCCGGAAGCTGATGAGGCTAGTAGACTGCGAGTAGACTGCTCGCCAAATGATTGGGCAGAGCTAGAAGACTATTCTATAGAAGCATTCCAGACTTCTGTTGGGGAGATGGAGCTGACGCGTGCAAAACACGCCCGCTCACACTCACTGCCACCAAGCCCATTCTGACCCCCGGAAACCCTACAGAAGAGAGAACTTCCCCGATGGGTTTCTAAGACCCTGGTTTTACAGGAGTCACACACCCAAATTCTGTAGTGGATGAGGAAGATTACTGAGAAAAACAAGATGATCAGAAATTCTTTAGTTTAATCCAAAACTTATTCCTGCAAAATGTGATTGTGACATGATTTTTTTTAATTGTTTAATTGCGTATAAGGTGATAAGTTTACACATTAGATCATCAACGCTGCATTCAAAAGTTTAAACTACTCATCTATTCTTGGTTCTTAAAGAGTTTAAGAACTTATAAAGTACAGTCTTTAAAAATCTTTTAGGAATAATAGTCACCACACTAGAATTACTATTTTTTAGAAATTGCCTATAGTCCAAGTTACAAACACCACAGAATAAATCAGAGTTTCGATATTGGGTCGGAAAAAAAACAAAGGGGGCTGTTATAAAGTAAAATTACTCATTGCAACTGCTAACCTTATTTACCAGACCAATCTAGTTTGACTCCAAAGGGCAGGTTCATTTTCAAGGAGATAAACACTTCCTGTCACTTAGGAGATTTGAAAGATTAGTTTTAGAGTGGTGGAGACAGCAAGATTAGATAGAGGGGACAGCAAATAAATATATTAAAATATATATATATATAAAATCAATGGTAATCTTGGTATAAATGCTCAGCCTTATCTGAATATATACATATGTGTGTATGTATAATTAATTAACTTGAAAGTGACACATTTTTATAAGCTCATCTGATAGTCTCCCCAAAGACTCCTATTCCTCTAACTTCAGCAACACCAAATCAATCTTATATAGTATAGGTAGTTTAATCGTCTAAAAGCACGGTCATATTATATTTCATTGCTCAAAAGCTTTCAAAGACTCTATTTCCTTCAAATTGTATACAAATTCTTTAACCTACAGGATACTTCTTCCCAAGAAATACCAGTAGCTAGGAGGTGTTAACAGTGGGCATCATTAATAGCATACAGGGATTTTAAACATTGAGGTTGTGCAGAAAAGAGTTAAAATAGACTTCAGACTGCTATCATAAAAATGTCTGCTTATGAGGTTAGCCCTCAACGGAATCTGGGCACATGGACTTCTGGAGGGTTCCCACCATTTTCTAACTGTTGAATGGCCCACTGTGCTGAAATTGTTCGTGCAAACAATGTGGTTTGTGCTTGGCCCCTCCTTTGCTTCTGGGAGGGTGGAATATTAACACATGGTAGGCAGAGGGGGCCTGTACAGTCAGCCCAATAAAAACCTTGGACCCTCCGTTTCTAATGAGCTTTTTGGTAGGCAGCACTGCATGGAGTCATCACAGTTTGACACTGGAGGAATGGCGCATGTCCAAATGGACTCCACATACAGAAAACTCTTAGAATTTGACCTTGATTTCCTCCAGATTTGCCGCATAGACCTTTTTCCGTAGTGGATTTCTTTTACGGATCCTATTTCTGTTTATTTTACAAATAAAGCGCAGCCCTGCGTAGCATGTTATGTGAGTCCCGTGAGTGCTCCCTGGGGAATTGTTAAACGTAGATGCGGTCTCGGGGAGCCCAACACAGAGTTTATTGGATGGTAACAAATGGCTTCAGGGTAAGGAAATTCTCTGTTAGCTTATACAGGGGCAAACTGCTTGTTAGAGTGAAAATGACTTCATCTCGTATACTCTGGACATGTTATCAGAAGGCACCAGTCCCTGGAGAATGACATCATTTTTGATAAAGTAACAGGGTCAATGAGATGAATTGGCACAATGTCTAAAATGATGGGCTCCAAAATATGAATGATTGTGAGGATGGTGCAGGATGAGTCAGGGTGTGGTATACATAGTAATTATGAGTTGGAACCAACTCGACAACATTTGATAACAAAGATATTTTTGTTGCCTGAACTAGCTGGCTGGGCTCTATGGAGAAACTAGGCAGAGAAGTCCATCAATTCCTGAGGAAAAATGATCCTTCAAAAAGACAATGCTTGCCCTATGGATACATGCGTTCTGTTGGAATGTGTTTGGCTGCAAGGAACTGAAAACGAACGGAGTTTAAAGAGTTAATTTGTCACACACCAGGAGATGTCTAAACAAACGACCCCCAGGAGTGGTCCAGTGGCCTACCGAGGGTTCTTTCTATACTTCTACTCTGCCATCTTTTGAGCTTCAGAACCTGAGAGAGTTACCAGGCTATCCTGTCTTGTGTGAGGCCCCAGTTATCAAGAAGAGAATCAAAGGGAGATGATTTCTTTGGGGTCCTTTGTTTTTATTTGGGAAGGGAAACACTCTTCAGGGAATTCTATCCAATTGTGCTGGACCATGTCACATGGAAGGAGCCCTGGTGGTGTAGTGGTTAACACCGTGGGCTGGTGACCAGAAGGTGAGCAGTTCAAAACCACCAGCAGCTCCAAGAGAGAAAGACAAGGCTTTGTGTTCCTGTAGAGAGTTCCAGTCTCAGACACCCACAGGGGACAGTTCTACCCTAATCTACCGGGTCACCATGAATCAGAATTAACTCGATAGTAGCGAGTTTGGGTTTGTATTTTGTGTGTGTGTGTGTGTGTGTATGTGTTGGTGTCACATAGCCCCTGTATCTCTAAGAAGAATGGGAAATTCGAGTATTTCACTTCCTAGCATTTCAGTACTATCCATCAGGACATAAGAGAGTTGGAGTGAATGTTGCACCACCAGATAAAGTATCGATCATCATTAGTCTGCACGGACGAAAGGAGATACACGGTCATTGTTGATTGTCTATGATGAGAGTCTGTGTGGAGCCCTGGTGGCGGAGTGGTCACTTGCTGGGCTGTTATCTACAAGCTCCACAGTTTGAAGGCACCAGGTGCTCTGCAGGAGAAAGACAGGCCTTTCTACTGCCATCACGAGCTAGCGTGTCAGAAACCTACTAGAGAGTAAGGCTACCAGATTAAAGTGGGACACCATTGACCGGGGATGGGGGGGATGGGGGCTTCTTGATTAAAAATTTGGTCTATATGGACCAAATAGACCGTTCCCTAGCTTGTCGTGCATTATTTCCAAAAATCAGGACTTTTTTAAAATGCCAAAAATCCGGACTTTCCTGCCAAAAGCGGGACGTCTGGTCACCTTACTAGACAGTCACCTGGAATTAGTCAATTCAGGGGCAGCGAGTTGAGTGTAAAAGCCTGTGTACAGATAACTTGATTGTCAGACTGAGAGATTAAAGACAACAGCAATGTCTTGGTTCCTAATACCTTTGTTCCTGACCTGTTTCATCTGTGTCGAGGAACAGCATCCTGGAAGTGACTCTTCCAAACTGGGAAAGTGTGTTCCTAGGATAGAAATCATTTGTGTTTCCCTTCGGAAGCCCTGTTACGAAAGCTTGACGGGTTTTGCTGCTAACTGCAATGCTGGAGGTTTGTGTCCATCTTAAAAAAAAAATTCTGGGGAATCTTTTTTTTTTTTTTTTAATCCACTGAAATCCCTATGGTGCGGGCTTCTCCTGACACACGTAGTGTCACATGAGTTGGAATCAACTCAATGACAACTGCTGTTCCTTCCATCTTAAAGCTCCTCAGAAATGGTTTGAATCTCACGAGCAGATGAAACAAAATACTAACCCTTCCCCCCATCCTTCTTATTTTCTTCCGCAGCAGCTGTAGATGAAACCAAACGTAAGGAAAGTGCCCGACAGGAGGAGGGTGAAGGAGAAGACCGTGAGGCGGACCAAGAACATGCCTGAACTTGAAGGAATGGCTTTCCGTGTCCCCACCCTCCCCTCTCCTGACCCCCATTTCTCCCACCCTCTACTCTAACTCCAGTCTGAAGTTCCCGTCCCGATCCTGCTCACGTCTGTGAGTCTGTCTCCCCTACCCACAAACCCTCTTTTCTCTCTGTGTGGCAAAATTAAAAAAAAAAAAAAAAAAAAAACAAGCAGGAAAGATCCCAAGTCAAACGGTGTGGCTTAAACATTTTTGTTTTTGGTGTCGTTATGGCGAGTTGTTGGTAATGATGATTCAATCATTTGGGGGAAATTCTTGCACTGTATCCAAGTGTTTTGATCTGGTGCGTGTGACCCTGTGGGAGTCCACTTTTCCTCTCTTTCTCTGCTACAAGTGTGTGTGCAATGTCCCGTTCATCCGAGGAGTCCAAACGATCAAGTGAATCCAAAACCATGTTTCTTTTCTCCTTTTCAATGTGATGGAATGAACTAAAAGGAAAAAAAATAAAAATAACCCAGATTGTTTTAAGAAATAAATAAATAAATAAAGCAAATGTGCCAATTAGCGTAACTTGCGGCTCCAAGGCTCCTTTTTCAATCTGAATATTAATAAATCATGAGAGTAATCAGACTCCAATGGCTCTGTGTCTGTTTCGCCGTCTCACGGGAATTGGCTTGGCACACTGGGTTTTCACCAGCCTCTCCTTGCTGACCGCCCAATTGGAAGAAACTGCCGCTGTGGCGGAGCCCAGCAGCACCGTTGCGGCCAGGCTGCGGTCAGGAACCAGAGGGCTGTCCCTGGTGGGAAGGTTGTAGGCACTAAGACGGGCTTTCACCCACAGCGTCCCGGAGATCCAGGAGAAATGTAGTTTATTTATAGAAATAGTATTCCAGGTTTTCCATGTTAAATATTACAGAAGCATTCTCAGCTCTCAAAACCCCCCAGATGTTTGACTGATTTTGACCTAAGGATGAGCCCTGCCAATCTGTATTGGTCAGAGTGCACAAGAGAAACACAAGTCATAGGAAATTGTATTTGGTGCATAAGACAGTGGGGTCCGACAAATCTTAAATTTAAACTTGGGCACAAGTTGACGCTACGACCTTGAGGCAGAACTTGTTAATTTCTGGGACCTCTCAGCACTTCAAGCGTCATGTCTTCAACTGATTGGCTGAAGCCCATCACCATTGGTAAGGATGCTCCTCTTTATTTATTTTCAATCAAAGCCAATCACATCTTCAGTGAATTTGTTACCCACACATATGAAACACCTTCACAGCAACACCTGGATTAGTATTTGATTAAATCACTAGTCACTGTAGCTGGAATGTGTAGTGGGTTTTGAATTGGGCTGCTAACCACAAGGTAAGCAGTTCAAACCATCGGCTGCTCCCGGGATTAGGCTTGCTGCTCCTGTAAAGATTTAAATCCTTGGAAATCCACAGGGGAGGCTATACTCTTGTCAGCATTAGCTTGATGGCAGTGAGTTTATTTCATGAGTTATAGCCTTGTCATGTCAATACATAAACCTAAACCTCACACTAACCTATCTTTGTAGTTTATTATATTATGTTGGGCTTACTATCCCTACATAAAATAGCCACCCAGTTTCAGAGTAATTAGAACCATTGTCACTGCTGATTTTTAACCCTATAACGCTGAGCGCGATGCTTTCATAACATTTAACCAAATGTATATATTTATATATTGATGACTATGAAAGTAAAGGATAAAAAAAATTTCCTGAAATTAAAAATTCAGGCATTATAAAGAAAAGGTATACATTTAATATATCCACTGTTAGAATTTTTCAAATACCTTTCTTATTCCTGTTCTCTAAATAGTCTCAATCAGAAGATAAACCAAACCCTTGGTGGGGAAAAAAATCCCGAAATACTGAAGTGCCCCCATGTTCTTCCCTACTTTCCCACTCCCATAATTTCCTAAGTAATCCTGGGCACCAATTTTTACCAGGTCATACTCGGTCCTGATCCTGAGTCCGGTCTTATAAAGACCGTATATACTTGAGTATAAGCCAACCTGAATATCAGCGGAGGCACCTAATTTTACCACAATAACTACTTTAAAAATGTGGGAAAACTCGGCTTATACACAAGTATATACGGTAAGCACAATCAGTGGAATCTTTCCCGTCTCTACACTCTTTTGCACAGAGAATTTCCTGGAAGAAAAGGAAAGGTGCGTCAGAGAAGGCCTTCAAGAGTCTCATGGAAGTAAGCCCTGGCGGAGGTATGATCCACAGCTCAGTAACTGCTCCGCTCCGTGTGGAGTTGCACGATGAATGCTTCAGAGAAAGCTGATGCTACAGAAGAAGGACTGTTTGTTAGCTCTGGGCCAATGGTACGAGAGGAGGTTTTTGGTGGGACAAACATACCATGGAAAAAGCCAGAAAGCACCAATAACATTTTAAAGCATTCTGGCTTCAGCCCTTGTAGGTGTGATTTCTGCAGAACATGTTGGCGCTCGTGTCTGGGGCTCAAAAATCACCCATCAGGGCTGCATCAGAGTTGGGGTATTCAAGTTATGTTAATTTCCTAGGGTTACATAAAAGATGACCGTGATTTGGGTGACTAAGACCCACAGACAAAATCTTTTCTCACGGCTTTGGAAGCTGAAATACCACAATCAGGGCTTTGGCAGGACCATGCAACACCAGCATTCTCACTGTCTACATTCTGTTTGTTCTAGTGCCTTTTGACCTAGCTTCCTGTGTCTCCATGCCTTCTCATCTTTAGTCCCATATATTTGAATGTTTAAGGGTGCACATTTTTTTAGTAGGGGTATTATTTATTTTAGAAGTCCATCTATTATCTGACAGCGTAGACCTCCAGGAGTAACTTTAGTTCCAAGTTAAAAAGACAATTAGTACAACAGTTTTAGGGTTCTTCTAGTCTATCAGTTCAGGGAGTCTGGTCTTTTAACGAATTTCTGCTTTGTTCTACATTTTCTCCCAGTATAACTGGGACAGTCTATCGTCTTCCTGGCCAGAATGGCCGGCGGTGGGAGCTGGGCACCATCTACTTCTGGTCTCAGGCCAGAAGATGCTGTGGTCCTCTGTGGACTTGTAGTCATGAGCTACTTTCTTTGCGTTTTCATTGCTTTGCTCCAGAAGGGAAGAGGCCAATAGTTGCGTGCTTGCCCCTCACAAGCTCTTTAAGCTCCCTGATACCAATCACTGAATACTGATGTCGGGCATGTTCTTTAGGAACGATGCTATGCTAACTGGCTGAGCTTTCATGTGAGACTTGCCCAGGAAACCAATCCTGTGCGAGTTGTGGAATGTCTAGGAGGTCTTCTTCATCGAAACTTGAAGGTACGTGAGAACACATCAGAGAGACTTTTGTTTGTGTGAGTGTGTTTTTAATCATTTTATTGGGGGGGGGGGGCTCTTACAAATCTTACAACAAGCCACCATTCAATCGTATTTCCATCAACATTTCAAAAACATTTTCTTTCTACTTGAGCCCTTGGTATGGGCTCCCCTCTTTTTCAGCTCCCTCCCCCACCCTCATGAAACCTTGATCAATATATATTAGTATTGTTCTTTTATTTCTTATACTGTCCATTGTCTCCCTTCAGTGACCTTTCTGTTATTTGTCCCCCTGAGGTGGGGGGTATATATCAAACCTTGTGATGGGTTCCCCCTTTCTCCTCCTCCCCCTCCACCCCACCACATCAGAGAGACTCGTAAGGACCCTAAAAGACTTACTAATGCAAAACAACGTGACTCAAACTTATATGTAACACGCACAAAGCCAGTGGATACTGGAGAGTATAGACCATTCACAACACAGAAACACTCAGACTCAAAACTCTATTTAGAAAATAATCACTCTCACTGATACTGAGCCTATGCCAACCCATACCGACCCTATAGGACAGTGGGCTTCCGAGATTGGAAGTATTTGCTGGACCCATCTTTCTCCTAGAAAATAACACTAGTTATTGGTTTTTAAACATCTACATGGAGAGAGAATGCGTAAACCAGGTTAATGGTAAATAAGAAAGGCCTTGATAATCAAAGATAATCCATAAACTGTCAATAAAGTCATATTTTGGGCACCAGACCCAGCAGCTGCTGGCAAAACCATAGCCCTTTCTGCTTAAGTCAAGGCCTTTTGACAAAGTTGTATTATTTGGGGGTGAAATACTCAGTCCTGATGGCTTGGAATCTCTGAAGATTATAGCAGAACACTTTATTCCAATCACCCCACCCCCACTTTGCTTATTTTCTCATCATCATTTACCCAGTGGTTGAAGTTGGAAACTAGAAAGTAGTCTTAATTCCTCTCTTTTGCTTTTTCTCATATCACATTTTATAGTAAGCCAGCCACTGCTGTGGTTTCAAGAAAAGGGTGAGGATAAACCTTGTGCCTGCTGCTCTGGTTAACTCTACATTCCTCTGTCAGTGAGATAACCGAAGGATCTTTTATTATTTATTGTTAACATTTTCTTTCTATTTTGTGAAAAAGCCATTTATTGGGAATTGATACAGATATCATATAATTCCATAGTTCAATAACATCAAACAGGATTGTGCAATTGCTACCACAATCAGTTTCAAGATATTATTTCCCTTCCTCAATTCCTTGATATCAGCTAGCTCCCTTGTACACACACACACACACCACTGTACCCCTTCTATCCATATTCAACTTGCTTTCTCTATAGGTTCATCAATCCTGAGTTTCAAATACTGCAAAATAGAGCAACATGTAAGAAAAATTCAAGAGGGTGACCCCCAATGATATGACCTGTCTGAGATAAACACCAATATGAGCCAACAAATACACAGAAAATGTTGAAAACCAGATCAGGCCTAATTGCATCCGTGAGGGATCTATGGACAAGGTTTTAACCATTCAAGTCAGATTTATCTCTTTGATCTTCCATAGTCATCTCTCCAAAGCACTTTGTTTAGTGACCACTTTTCTTCTATCCCTTTATTATGGAGACAGGGAAATCACCTGAGCCTTATTTCCTGTGTAGATCCCACACATGTATCTTGAGCTCCCACTGTCATCCCCAAACTGGATTCTTACAATTTAGGCTCTGATACCATTACCTCCTTTGACTTTGGATTATATAATTTACTATCCTTCCATGACTGACGTTGGTGTGCTTCTTCCATATGGACTTAGTTGACATCTCACTTAGATGGCTGCTTGTTCGGAAACAAACCTTTAAGACCTGAGATGCTATTATATCTGAAAGCCTGGCACCCTCTAATTTCTTCATCACATGTTGCTATAGCACCCGTATCTTCTGTGTTCCCTCCCTAAGGGCAAGCATCGAGTAGGGCCATAGCATTTTGTTTTTAAAATTAGTTTTACTGGCATATATGTCACCTAACATACAATTTAATCATTCAATCATATTAAGAAGATTTGTGGAATCATCACCATCAATTACAGGACATTTTCTTCTCATACACGTTGTTAGCTCCCCATTTCATCCCACCCTTCCCTGCCATGGCCCTATCCAGTTACTATTTCTATAGATCTACTTATTTCATATACAAAAATATCATACAAATACAAACAAGAATCAACCCAACAACAATGACTAGCTAAAGGAGGTACACTGGTACAGATAGGAACTGAAAATAC